TTAAAATGCTTGTTATTAGGGGTTTTAAAAAACCAAGCACTTTTTTTTTATTTCACCCGTTTTGTTTTAAATTTAAAAGAAAATTTTTTAAAAAACTTTATTAAAGGGTTTTTGCGGGAAAAAAAGAGGATGAAGCACATAAAAAAAATATCAGCACCTTTTTTCTTAAAAAAATCCCCCGATATATTTTAAAGACCAAATTTTTAAAAACCCCCCCTTTTTAAAAATGCCGATAAATTTTCCGGGTTTTAAAAAAATCAGCCTTTTGTTTTTTACACTCCTCGAGATTAGTTTTGAAAAAAGTAGAACACATTTCTCTTCCAAAAAGGACATTCTATTGAAGGATTAAAAAACGCGGATTATAATCGAGAGCGATCCAAGCACTATAAAAAATATACAGCACGCGTCTTTCGATTTAAAACAACTCCATGCTGGGTCAGTATTTGTAAAGCCCCCAGTGAGGGTCGAACTCACACCCTGGTTTACTAGACCAGTGCTCTGCCACTTTAGATATGATTGCGCCCCATTACATTCATATTACTCAAAGCCCTTTTGTTTCTTTCTACATTTCTCTCGTAGATTAGTTTGAAATATATAATGAGACACATTCTCTTCCAAAAATGACATTCTTTTAAGTTAAATTAACGCGGATTTAATCGAGAGTCGCACCCCGTATAAAGAAAATATACAGCACGCGTCTTTCGATTAAAACAACTCCATGCTATCAAGTATTTGAAAAACCAGTGAGGATCGAACTCACGACCCTAGGTTTAAAGACCAGGCTCCACTGAGATATATGGCGCCCGGATTACGTTCAATTACTCAATGCACATTTTTGTTTCTTTCGCCTTTCTCGTAGATTAGTTTGGGAAAAATATAATGAGAATTTTTCTTCCCAAAATGACATTCTATTAAGGTTAAATTAACGCATTATAATTGAGAGCGATCGCAAGCACTATAAAAGAAAATATACAGCACGCTCTTTCGATTAAAACAACCCATGCATATCAAGTTTTTGTAAGCCACCAGTGAGGGTCGAACTCACACCCTGGTTTACAAGACATCTCTGCCACTGAGCTATGATGGCGACGGATTACGTCAAAAAACTCATGCACATTTTGCTTCTTTCCTACATTTCCTGTAGATTAGTTTGAAATATATATAATGAGACACATTTTCTCTTCCAAAAATGACATTCTTTAGGATTAAATTAACGCGGATTAATCGAGAGATCGCATCACTATAAAAAAAAATTTTACAGCACGCGTCTTTCGATTAAAAACAACTCCATGCTTATCACGTTTTGTAAAAAACCACCATGAGGATGCTCACGACCCCCGGTTTAAAAGACCAGTGCTCTGCCACTGAGCTATATGGCGCCCCATTTCGTTCCATTACTCAATGCACATTTTGTTTCTTTCGCTACTTTCTCTGTAGATTGTTTGAAATATATAATGAGACACATTTCTCTTCCAAAGACATTCTTATTAAAGGTAAATTAACGCGATTAACGAGAACGTCCAGCACTATAAAAGAAAAATATACAGCAGCGTCTTTCGATTAAAAACAACTCCATGCTGATCAGTATTTGTAAAGCCACCAGTGAGGATCGAAATCACGACCCTGGTTTTTCAAGACCAGTGCTCTGCCACTGAGCTATGATGGCCGGTTACGTTCATATTACTCAATGCACATTTTTGTTTCTTTCACATTTTTTTCCGTAGATTAGTTTGAAATATATAATGGGGACACATTTTCTTCCAAAAATGACATTCTATTAGGATTTAATTAACGCGGATTAATCGAGAGCGATCGCAATAAAAAGAAAAAAATACAGCACGCGTCTTTCGATTAAAAACAACCCCACAGTTTCAGTATTTTAAAGCCACCAGTGGGATCGAACTCACGACCTAGGTTTACAAGACCGTGCTCTGCCACTGAATATGATGGCCTTTCGTTCATATTATCAGACATTTTTGTTTCTTTGCTACATTTCTCTGTAGATTAGTTTTTAAATATATAATGGACACATTTTCTTCAAAAATGACATTCATAAGGATAAAATTTAAAGCGGATTAATCGAAGAAACGCAGTATATCATAAAAGAAAATATACAGGAAACGTTTTCGTTAAAACAATCCCTGCTACAATTTTTAAAGCCACCGAGTGAGGAATTGGCCCTTGGTTTACAAACCAGTGCTCTGCCACTGAGTATGATGGCGGGATTACTTCATATACTCAATGCACATTTTGTTTCTTTGTTTCATTTCTCTCGTAGATTAGTTTGAAATATATAATGAGACACATTTCTTTCAAAAGAATTCTATTAGGATTAAATTAACGCGATTAATCGAGACATCGCAACTATAAAAGAAAAATATACAGAGCGTCTTTCGATTAAAAACAACTCCAGCTTCAGTTTTTAAAGCCACCGTGAGGATCGAACTCACCCCTGGTTTACAAGACCAGTGCTCTTCCACTGAGCCTATGATGGCGACGGATTACGTTCAATTACTCAATGCATTTTGTTCTTTCGCTACATTTTCGAGTTTTTAAAAAAAAAAAATTTTCTTTTAAAGACTTTTAAAATTAAAACCCGGGGTTTGCCCCTTAAAAAAAAATATAAGCGCCTTTCGTTAAAAAACTCCATCACATTTTTTTGGGGAAAATCGAATTGGTTTAAAGACCATTTCCCCATGAATTATGGGGTTATTAATTAAAGGGGACTTTTTTTTCTTTTTAATTTTCTCTCTAGATTGTTTGGAAATATATAATGAGACACCCTTTCTCTTCCCAAAAAGGGCATTCTGTAGGATTAAATTAACGCGGATTAAATCGAGGCGATCATAAGCACTATAAAAAGAAAAATATACAGCACGCGTCTTTCGATTAAAACAACTCCAAAGCTTGATCACGTATTTGTAAAGCCACCAGTGAGGATCGAACTCGACCCCCGGTTTACAAGACCAGTGCTCTGCCACTGAGTATGATGGCGCCCTAGTTCATTCTATTACTCAATGCACATTTTTGTTTCTTTCGCTACATTTCTCTCGTAGATTAGTTTGAAATATATAATGAGAAAATTTCTCTTCCAAAAAAGACATTCAAGGGATTAAAATTTAAAGCGGATTAATCGAGAGCGATCGCAGCACTATAAAAGAAAATATACAGCAGCGTCTTTCGATTAAAAAAAACTCCATGCTGATCACGTATTTGTAAAGCCACCAGTGAGGATCGAACTCACGACCCTGGTTTTTCAAACCAGTGCTCTGCCACTGAATATGAAAGGCGCCGATTACGTTCATATTACTCAATGCCATTTTTGTTTCTTTCGCTCATTTCTTCGTAGATTAATTTGAAATAATAATGAGACACATTTCTCTTCCAAAAATGACATTCTATGGGATTAAATTAGCGCGGATTTAATCGAAGCGATCGCAAGCATATAAAAAAAAATATACAGCACGCGTCTTTCGATTAAAAACAACTCCAAAGCTTGATCACGTATTTGTAAAGCCACCAGTGAGGATCGAACTCACGACCCTGGTTTACAAGACCAGTGCTCTGCCACTGAGCTATGATGGCGCCATTCGTTCATATTACCAAAGCACATTTTGTTTCTTTCCTACATTTCTCTCGTAGATTAGTTTTGAAATATATAATGAGACACATTTCTCTTCCAAAAAATGACATTCTATTAAGGAGTTAAAATTTAACGCGGATTAATCGAGAGCGATCGCATGCACTATAAAGAAAAATATACAGCACGCGTCTTTCGATTAAAAAAAAACTCCCTGCTTCAGTTTTGTAAACCACCAGTGAGGATCGAACTCCCACCCTGGGTTTTCAAGACCGGTTGCCACTGAGTATGATGGCGGTTTTTGTTCATATTACTCAAAGCATTTTTTTTTTCTTTTTGCTACATTTCTCTCGTAGATTAATTTGAAATATTAATGAGAAAATTTCTCTTCCCAAAAATGAATTCTATTGGGGTTTAAAATTTAAAGCGGATTAATCGAGCATCCATGCATATAAAAAAAAATATACAGCCCCGTCTTTCGATTAAAACAACTCCAGCTTTCAGTTTTTAAAGACCGGAGGATCAACTCACGACCCCCCGGTTTCAAAAACCAGTGCTCTGCCACTGAGCTATGATGGCCGTTTGTTCAATTCTCAATGCATTTTGTTTCCGCTACATTTTCTCTCGTAGATTAGTTTGAAATATATAATGAACACATTTCTCTTCCCAAAAGACATTCTTTGGGGTAAAAAACGGGTTAATCGAGCGATCGCAGCCCCATAAAGAAAATATAACCGCGTCCGATTAAAACAACTCCATGCTGGGTCAGTATTTGTAAACCCCGTGCGGATCAACTCACGACCCCCGGTTTACAAGACCAGTGCTCTGCCACTGAAATATGATGGCCCGATAACTTCCCCCTCTCACATTTTGTTTCTTTTTACATTTCTCTCGTAGATTAGTTTGAAATATATAATGAGACACATTTCTCTTCCCAAAAAAGACATTCTATTAAGGAAATTGCGGATAATCGAAACGATCGCAGCCTTAAAAAAAAAATTACGCCCGGGGCTTTCGATTAAAAACAACTCCATGCTTCAGTTTTTAAACCACCGGGAGATCGAACTAAAGACCCTGGTTTACAAGACCAGTGTTCCCTGAGCTATGATGGCGCCCCTTCTTCAATTACTCAAAGCACATTTTTTTTTTCCCACATTTTTCTCGTAGATTAGTTTGAAATATATAATGAGACATTTCTCTTCAAAAGACATTCTATTGGTTAAAATTTCGCGGATTTAATCGAAAAGGGTCGCAAGCCTATAAAAAAAAAATATAAGCAGCGTCTTTCGATTAAAAAAAACTCCATGCTATAGTTTTTGTAAAGCCACCAGTGAGGTCGAACTCACGACCTGGTTTACAAAACCATCTCTGCCACTAGTATGATGGGGCCTTACGTTCAATTATCAACATTTTTGTTTTTTTTGCACATTTCTCTCTGATTATTTGAAATATAATAGAAAACATTTCTTTCAAAAATGAATTCTATTAAAGGGTTAAAATTTCCATTTAATCGAAAGATCCCAACACTATAAAAAGAAAAATACAGAGCGTCTTTCATTAAAACCTCACCCTTTAATTTTGTAAAAGCCCCAGTGAGGATCGAAATCACACCCGGTTTTTCAAGACCGTGCTCGCCACTGAGCTATATGGGGCGGATTACTTTTTTACTCAATGCCCTTTTTGCCCCTTTCGCTACATTTCTCTCGTAGATTGTTTAAATATATAATGGGGAAAATTTCTCTTCCCAAAAAGACATTCTTTGGGGGTTAAATTAACGCGGATTTAATCGAGCGTCGCAGACTATAAAGAAAAATATACAGCACGCGTCTTTCATTAAAAACAACTCCAGCTTTTCCAAAGTAAAGCCACCAGGGGGATCGAACTAGACCCCGGGTTTTTCAAGACCAGTGCTCTGCCACTTTTACTATATGCGCCCATTACGTTCATATTACTCAATGCCCTTTTTTTTTCTTTCGCACATTTCTCTCGTAGATTAGTTTAAATATATAATGAGACCAAATTTTTTTAAAAGGGGCATTCTTTGGGTTAAAATTAAAGGGATTTAATCGGGGGATCGCAAAGCCTAAAAAAGAAAAAAATAAGCACGCGTCTTTCGATTAAAACAATCCATGCTGGGTCAGTATTTGAAAGCCCAGGGGAGGATCAACTACGACCCCCGGTTTACAAAACCAGTGCTCTGCCACTGACTATATGGCGCGATACGTTATATTATAATGCACATTATTGTTTCTTTGCCACATTTCTTCGTAGATTAAGTTTCGAAATTATAATGAGACACATTCTCTTCCAAAAAGACATCTATAAGGACGAATTACGCGGATTAAACGAGAGCGATCGCATGACTATAAAAGAAAATACGAGCGTTTCGATTAAACAACTCCATGTTATACTATTTAAGCCACCGTGAGATCGAACTAACCCATATTTCCAAGACCATTGCTTCCATTCGAGATTATGCGGATTAGTTAAATTATAATGCACATTTTTTCTTAAATACATTTCTTAAGAGTTAAATTAGAGATATAATGAGAGCATTCCTACTAAAAAGAAATTCTATAAGGATTAATCCCTTCGGATTAAAAAGCGATCGCATGCATTTAAAAAAAACTACAGCACGGTCTTCATAAAACTCAACTCCATTTATCCGTATTTGAACCACAGTGAGGATCGCGATACTCTTTTACAAGACATCTTTGCCCTTAGCTAGATCTCCGAGTTGTTTGAAATATAAATGAAAATTTCTTCAAAAAGCATTCTTGATTATAGGATTACGACGACTGTATAAAAGAAAATTTCCGGTTTTCGATTAAACACTCCATGCTTGTGTTTTAACCCGGTCAACTCCGACCTGGTTAAACTCTCTCCAAATATCGATAGTTAATTACGGCATTTTTTTTCTTTCTACACTCGAATATTTAAAATATAACATTTTCTTCCAAAAAGCACATTAGGATAAATTAACGCGGATTAACGGGTGCACATAAAATTCAGCAGCTTTATAACAATCCATGTTTCTATTTGTAAAGCAATAGATCGAACCGACCTGGTTACAAAAGCTCTGTGGTAATGCGGATTATTTACCAATGCATTTTTGTTTTCAATTCCCTTTGTTTTTTAAAGACATTTAAAAGACTCTTTAAGATATTACGTAATGACGATAGCATATAAAAAATTGCCGCGTCTTTCGATTAAAAACATTCATTTTTAAAACCACCATAGGTAATCGCGTTACAAGACAGGCCGCCACTAATATGCGCGGTCGTTAATACTAGACTTTGTTTTTGCACTTCTCGAATTATGAAATTTAAAGACCATTTCTCTTCAAAAACTTCTATTAGGTAAATTAGGGATATCAGCATCAGATATAAAAAAAATAGCCCTTTAAAATCATCTATATATTTGTGCCCATAATCGACTCGACTGTTAAAGACATTCGCCGCTTGATGACAACTAATATCAGAATTTTTTCTTGCAATCTCCGGTTGTTTGAAATTTATGAGCACATCTCCAATACTTCTATTATATCAATTTTGTTTCTTTCCACATTTCTCTCGTAGATTAGTTTGAAATATATGAGCACATTTCTTTCAAAATGACTTCTATTGTTAATTAAGGATTAATCGAGAGATCGCGCAATAAAGAAATATACACACGTCTTTCGATTAAAACAACCCATGCCGTTTTGTAAGCCACCAGAGGATCGAATATGGTTACAGACAGTGCTCTGCCACTGAGCTATGATGGCGAATTACGTTCAATTACTCAGACATTTTGTTTCTTTCCTACATTTCTCGTAGATTAGTTTGAAATATATAATAGACACATTTTCCAAAATGACATTCTATTGGTTAATTACGCGATTAATCGAGCGATCACCTAAAAAGAAAATATACAACGCTTTGATTAAAACAACTCATGCTTCAGTTTTTGTAAAGCCACCAGAGGTCGAACTCGACCTGGTTTACAAGACCAGTGCTCGCCACTGAGTATATGACGGATTACGTTCATATTACTCAATGCAATTTTTTTTCTACATTTCTCTCGTAGTTAGTTTGAAATATATAATGAGACACATTTCTCTTAAAATGACATTCTTGATTAATTAACGGATTATCGAGCATAAGCACTAAAAGAAAATATACAGCTCTTTCGTTAAAACAACTCATGCTTTCAAGTTTAAAGCACCTGAGAGAATCGACCCGTTTACAGACAGTGCCCCCGATGATGGGACGGTAGTTCAATTACTCAATGCATTGTTTCTTCCCATTCTCGTAATAGTTTGAAATATATAATGAGACACATTCTCTTCAAATGACATTCTAAGATTAAATTAACGCGGTTAATCGAGTGCACATTAAAAAAATATACGCACGGTCTTTCGTAAAAACTCCATGCTCAGTTGAAAGCACCGTGAGATCAACTCCGACCTGGTTTACAGTGCTCTCCACTGAGCTATGATGCCGTTCGTTCATATTCTAATGCACATTTTTGTTCTTTCAATTTCTCTCGTAATTAGTTTGAAATATATAGACATTTCTCTTCAAACTTTATGGTTAATTAACGCGGATTAATCGAGGGATCGCAGCCTTGAAAAATATCAGTCCGATTAAAACAATCCATGCTTTCAGTTAAACAGAGGATCAACTACGATGGTTACAGACCAGTGTCTGCACTGAGCTATGATGGGCG